ATGTAGTTTATTTATTTAGTTTCATTCTATGGTATATTACATAATTGCAACTCAATTAATTAAGAATTTTAGATTTCAAATTAAAAATTTTAAATTTAAATTTTAAGTTTGTGTGAAAAAGAATTTAAAAGATAAAAAATTTATTTTCTTTTATATAACTTATTATACGACTTAACAACCTAAATAATTTAGTGATAATCTCTTTCTGCTAAAAATAAAAAATCATGGTTTCGAATCATATGGCATGCAGTTGTGGTGGGATAATAGAATAAAGTATAAAAGATGTTACCTCTTATTGTGCAACCAACATTAAAAAAAAAAACTTATTATATGATGTGTTAAAAAATATGATAATGCTATAGAGATAAATTTTTTATATTATTTTTTTATAAAACTTTCATATGTTATTAAATGAGTAAATATATTCAATATCATAAATTCTATATAAATTAAAAAAATAATCATTTAAATGATACGTTAAATTATAAAAAAAATAAGGTAAAACTATAAAAAGGTGGTACAAAAATCATTTCCTCAAAAACTATATATATCAAAGAAACGCGCCGTGAAACGAGAGTGGGAATGGGGGAGAGCGATAGGAACCCTACCGGGAGAGATAACTACGTCTACAGACAAAAGCCACATAAAAAATTTACCAACAAATAAAAAAAATAAAAAAAAAAAATAAGTGGGAAAAGAAGCCTAGAGACAGAAGGATGAAGGGCACTTTACCCACTTTTATATGTTGCACGCATCCATATAAAACAGAAGGAAGACAGGCTTACTTCTGCAAAGGCCAAAGAGGAAGAAGAAGGAAGAAGAAGAGAAAAAGCAAAGCCAAAAACCAAAGTTTTTATTTGAGGAAGGAGGAAGCAAAAAGATGGGGTCCTGAGGTACCTTCGGAAAATTAAGGCTAAAGGGGTTTCTTTTGTTGCGCGCTAAAATGGGTTTCTGCTGTGCATTTATTTTCAAAAGTGTATCCTCAAGTCTCTGATTTTGTTATCTCATCTGTATTTGTCTGTTTTTTAAGTCTCTTCTTTCTTTGTTTCTATTCGGGGCTAAAAACCCATATCCTTTTTCTTTCTTTCTTTCCTTCTTTTTTTTTTTTTTTGGGTTCTTTGCCTTACTTGATTCTTGGAAAAACTGGAGATTTTTGGGTTGTGGTGGTTACTGTTTGAGTTCTTGATTTTCGTCCTACTAGATGAAGGCCATGCCCCTATCCTTTGAGGAGTTTCAAGGGAAGGGGGTGTTAGATTTCTCTTCTTCGTCTTCCTCCTCTTGCTCAGATTCATCTTTGTTGCCACTGCAACACCAACAAGAACAACTTCACAAGTGGGGGAGCAAGGGCTGTGAGCCCACCTCTGTTTTAGAACTTGGGAAAAGTCCCAGTCCACCAACGTCTACCTCAACACTGTCTTCCTCTCACGGCGGTAGCAGCGGCGGCGGAGGCAGCGGTGCCTCCACCGGCACGGCCACGGGTGTCTCCGGCAACCATCCAGTAGACATCGGAACGGAAAAATGTGGGATGGGAATGGATGATTGGGAAAGTGTGTTGTCTGGCTCTCCTAGTCAAGAGCAGTCCATTTTGAGGTTAATTATGGGTGATGTTGAAGACCCTTCTATGGGTTTGAGCAAGATTTTGCAGCAGTGTCCTGGGTCTCAAGAAATGGAGTTCAATGCAGGTTTTGGCATGGTGGATCAAGGTATGACGTTTGAGTCCTTTGGCACCGGTGGCAATTTGGTGAGCAACATTGACACTTCTATTCCTGGAACTTGTTCCGATTTTGCGAGGATGGGGTCGGTTTCAAACCCAACAAATCCCATGTTTGCATCCTCTACGGGCAATCTTTTGTCCTCCTCTCTACCTCCCGGAGGCGGAGGCGGAGGCGGCGGCGGCGCCTTCCAACAGCAACAGCAGCAGCCACTTGAACCTTTGGATGAGAAGCCACAGATTTTTAATCCCCAGATGATAATTAATCAGAATCAGGCTCAGTTCACTCAGAATCCGGCTATGTTCCTGCCATTGTCATACGCCCAGTTGCAAGAGCATCATCTTTTATCACCGCCACCTCCAAAGAGGTTTACTTCTGCATCAGGCGGACCAAATTATCAGGTTCCAAAGGTTCCGTTTACGGGTTTTGGGCAGGAGCCTTATCTCCGGCGGCAGCAGCAGCAGCAGCAGCAGCAGCAGTTCCAAATGCTTCAACAGAGGCCAACAACAATGGGGATGCAAACGGGGAAGCCAAAAATGGCTAGCGATGAATTGGCAAACCAACAGCTTCAGCAGGCGATAATTGACCAGGTTTCCAAGGCCGCAGAGCTGATCGAAACCGGAAATCCGGTACTTGCGCAAGGGATATTGGCGCGGCTCAATCACCAGCTCTCTCCGGCAGGTAGGCCTTTTCAAAAGGCTGCTTTCTACTTGAAGGAGGCCTTGCAATTGCTTCTTGACATGAATGCTTCCAGCGTCCCTGCTTTCTCCTCATATAACATGATCTTCAAAATTGGTGCATATAAATCCTTCTCTGAAATTTCCCCCATGGTTCAGTTCGCCAATTTTACTTGCAATCAAGCACTTCTGGAGGCATTTGAAGGGTTTGATAGAATTCGCATTATAGATTTTGATATTGGGTATGGAGGGCAATGGGCCTCTTTGATGCAAGAACTTGTATTGAGGAGTGGTGGTGCTCCTTCTTTGAAAATCACAGCTTTTGCTTCTCCATCCACACAGGAGGAGATCGAGCTTAGTTTCACACTGGAAAATCTCAAACACTTTGCTAGTGAAATCAACATGTCGTTTGAGATTGAAATTGTGAGGCTTGATTCTCTCAATTCTACATCATTGCACTTGCCTCCCCAGGTCCCGGAAAGTGAAGCAATTGCAGTGAATCTTCCAATTAGCTCATTCTCTAATTGTCCATCGACACTTCCTTTCGCCGTTCGCTTTGTGAAGCAGCTGTCTCCCAAAATTGTGGTATCCTTGGACAGAGGTTGTGACAGAGCAGATGTACCATTTGCACAACATATGGTACATGCCCTTCAATCCTACTCGGGTTTGATCGAGTCCCTTGATGCTGTGAATATGAACATTGATACCTTGCAAAAGATAGAGAGGTTCTTGCTCCAACCAAGCATTGAAAAGATTGTCTTGGGTCGTCATAGGTCCATGGAAAGAACACCTACATGGAAGGGTCTGTTTATGCAATCAGGATTCTCCCCATTAGCATTCAGCAACTTCACGGAGTCTCAAGCTGAGTGTTTGGTGCAGAGGACTCCAGTTAGGGGTTTCCACGTCGAGAAAAGGCAGTCTTCACTTGTTCTTTTCTGGCAAAGGAGAGAACTCATTGCCGCTTCAGCTTGGAGGTGCTGAAGAAGGTGCCTGCTTACTTACTCCCTTAGTTTCTGATCCTTTGAATTTTTGTTGCCTGTGCTTCTCTTAAAGCTAATTGTCTATGTGCCTTAGGCTTTACTATTTCCAGTCAAGAAACCAAAACATTTTAGTAACTGGATGGTTTTTGTACACTTTCTCTCTTATTTTCATCTGGATGTGGGTATAACTTGTACTATGGTTCTTTTTCCCAGTTAAGCTGTTAATTGTATGTTGTACACTTTAACAACAATGCAAAAACAAGTAAAGGGAAGAAGGAGACTCAAAATTAAGGTCATCTCATGTCCCCAATATATTCTTGTACATACTTTTTTTTCTAGTACTCTTTCAAGTTCATGCCCAAACTGATTTTCCCTTCCTTTCTCAACTAAAACATATATGTGTGGCCATTTTCTTCTGAATTTTCATGTATTATAATAATCTTAAATGCCATTAAATGTTGATGGTCAACTGGTATTGGCAATGATTGAGGGTCATAGATATAATTGGCTTTGAAGGTCTCAAGGGTATGGGATGTTGGCCTAAATTCTTTATAGTGCGTGCATTCATAAACCTTGATTCATAATTTGGTTGCAATTTTTGTCAAATCATAATGAATTTTTTTTATCATGTAATTTGGGATATTTCATTAATTTAGCAGGTCCTTAACCAGTGCAATTTTACCTCAATTTACTTGTCAATTATGGTTGGCGGTGCAATAATAGATAATTAAATCTACTCCTGGATTAATTTTTTTTTTAATACGTGGTTGTGATTTTTTTTTTTTAAATACTTTCATAATTTGTGATTTTGTTTGTTTAATGCATGCCAACACTTGTATTATATTATACATTGAATTTGTTGTTGTCCGGTTACTTTTTTAATGCCTCCCCTAATGCAATCACATGGGGCTTGTTTCATTGGACCCCCACATGATTA